TTAGAAACAACTTAGTGTTGACATTTTTTTACTGTGCCGTTACTTTTTTTATGAACACAACTGTACATATGTATATATGTACATACATATTTGTGAATATGCATATGTACATACATGAATTCGACATTTGCGAAGCATAAAATTTTGCATTGCAATTTGATTAAAGCGACACCGGCCATAATGTTGATAATAATGATCAAATTTTATGTCGTCTCCTTCGATTTCATTTTTGGGCAATAATTGAAAAACGCTGCCAGCACTAGTAACTTTCCACCGTTTCGTTGCACATTGTTTTTGAGAAAATTGATGTTGGCTGACTAGTTGGTCTGATGGCTAGCAGCGCGCTTTTAGTTGATTGTTTGTTTGCATTCGTGGATGACAATTTCCAGCAGCGTTAGTCAATTAAAATACCCAGTTAATGAGTTTTCTGTCAGTATTTGATTCGGTATCGAATTTCCAATTACGATTATTGTAATTTTCTGTCTTAAATTTACCAAATAACATTACACTGCAATACCTTAATTTGATTAGACGTCGCATTTTCATTTGCTTCGTAGATTATAATAAAGAAGGACATGACACTGCATTACAAAAAGGGGAATAGCCTCGGAGAAATTAACGTACAATATTTGTTTAAATCTATGTAGTGTTATTGTTAAGTTTTGTCCTAATAATTTAGTACAGAAACCCTATCCGAAACTGACACCTGATCTTCCTTTCCACATTTCCGGATGTCGCTTTCCATATTTTCTGAACATAGGTAATTACAGAAATTCGAAATCTACCTTATGGTAACACTACCATAAACTAAATTTTTAAAAATTTTTTGTCGTTCGATTTTTTGGTAGAACCTAAAAAAAAGGTTTTTTTTCTAGGCAGGGTGCTCACATCCTTTAGTTTTCTTTACAGCTAGCAAAATAAGTTCAACAGTATTTTAAAGCTTTTAAGGTGGAAAATTCAGGAAAAATAACCCAGTTGTATAAGAAAACATTGAAACCCCTTTTTTTAGGATGTAATTTCGATCTTAAAAACACAGGAGATTTAAATTTATTCCTTTTTTTGACCGGAATGCAGTATCCAATGAAATTTTCAAATATTTTTAAACATAAATGTTGATTGTTCCTGCGTAAAGAAATACAATTTCATGGTCGGAAGAACCGAAAAACAAATTAGCAATTTTTTAAAGAAGTTTATTTTATACTGTTTTCCGATCAAACAAAGAAAATTCAAAAATGTTACTTTTGAAGGTCGTTTTTAAGGTCAAGGTAATTTTTTATCCCATAAGATTGTTAAAACGATCTGCAATATAAAAGTTTAATTTTTTTCTTTCTGACCTGAAAAAATGTGATGAACTTAAAAAAAAAAAATAAAAAGTTTTTCCGAGCTCGTGACCATGGAAATGGTTGATGGCAATTATAGCAAAAACAACCCCATATTTTTGAAATTAATTTGAATGGTCAAAGTAATTTTTTCCCCAACGAAAAAGTTGTTAATAAACTTTCCATTTCAAAAGCAATTCAGAGTACTATTATATATATATATATATAGTTTATTGGTGTTTTGGGTCCTATGTATTGGTCTATTTGGAATAAATTGTAATACAAATGGAAGAAATTGTAACAGAAATGGAAGAAATTATAGAAGGTGACAGGAAATGCTAAAAAAAAAAACAGGTGCTCTCCAAGAATGATAGAATACAAGATTGCGCCGTCCTGGGCGTTGACATTTGTGTACCACAAGTAAACAAAGAATAGAGCGAAAAGAAGAACGAGTTGAAACTGCCAAAGCAGTTCACTTTACAGCGAAAAACGTGTTTTAATTTTGCTAAATGCGAAAATATTGCATTTTTCACCTAATCTATTAGAGAACAGTTAATATTTTAGTGCACTCCATTGCTTTGCAATTGAGGCTGCTTCAGCAAACGTTTTAGTGCACTCCATTGCTTTGCAATTAAGGCTGCTGCAGAAAACCGCGGCAGCATCTCAGCGGGATTGATTGGTTAACTTGCTAATGGAGGCTGTTTGGAGCAGAAGCAAAATCATTGCGAGGAAATGCTGTTAATGTAATAATAAAGAAACATTTCGAGAACGGCTTTGCCGTGCCCTATGTACACAAAATGCAGCGATTCGTTCCAGCGCTACACTAGCATCTACGCTTCTTGCATCTTGACGGCTGTCGCAATTTAACACTCATCACCTCATTGTATTAGTTTTTACACAGTCTCCAACTCAAAAATCACTCACCAATTGCAAATTAATACAATTTAAACTGATTTTTCACATATAATTCAAATTTCTCTTTCGCTGATTTGTAAACAAAGGTTTATTGACAAGTTACCACAAGTGTCAAAATCGGCAAAACCAAAGTAGCGGTACCACTGACGGCGCCACCTTTGTTCGCTGCACCGTGGGTGCTCTCATCTGTAGGCATTTTTTTTTTTACAATCAGCTGATAGGGATTTTACTTAGGAGGCTGTACGATGCTTCCGATAACGATGACAATGTAATTTCGAATATAAATTCTCTAAATTTGCTATATTTTAGATGAGCTCTTTGTATAGTTCATGCCGTCGACTGCGTGATATGACATTTTGGGTTCTAGCTACCATCATTGAATTGGAGCGTTGCGCGTTGATGTCAATTCGAGGTGCCGCTGAACAGAAAGATATTGTGAGAAATTAAGCTCAAGGTATTGCAAACAAAATGTGCTCCCACGAAACAGTTTTGTACATTTTGTTATGGCATGATATTCTCATAGATTTGTTTCTCTGCAAAGGTTAAACCCAGATACAAATAAATTTTTGTATCATGGTTGAACCTGAAAATTGCTTTATTGTTTGAAATCTTTACAAGCTTTTGTGCAGTCTAAAAGAAATGCATTCGGGACATACGAAGAAAGAGCTAAAACATTGTCTACAATTAGCGACTACGAATCTTTGTTGTATGAAACAAAAATGGCTAACAAATGAATTATCTTAAAACTGTATCAGCGGTTTGCAGTTTGGCGACCCGTGGCCTGAATTATAGCCTTCCAACGATAAGACTGCTGACTCGACGCCCGATAGGACTTGAGCCCTTCTTTGCGTTAGGTCCAAGCACGATAAAGAAAGCGCTCAGAAAGAAAAATACCAAACTAAGGGATCTGAATTTTCGAAACACCGTGGGTCTTCATCAATCAAAGAGCTTACCTGAGGGATATTATCTAATCTACAGGCAACGCAATCCGGTCACATGATAGATTAGAATGTTGTTTGCGTCAATTACCGCGGCCAATTACCATTGCAACTGAAGCTAATTATCAGTGTGGCTTCAGGCCTGCAAAAGCCAACAGCACGTCAAATTCAGGAAAAACTCTAGACAAAAAACAATCGGCACACATTGCTTGCCGTCGACTTCAAAGCCGCTTCTGATAGAAGGAGCAAATTCAGGTTCTCCTCAAATCTATGTAGAGTGACGTTCGGGACACCCAGCGAAGTTTTATATAAGGCAACTCAGTTTATGTGACTTTTTCAGTTCCTGGTGAATGCAGATGGCATTGAAATACATGTAGTTGATGTCAACATCAGAGCCGATACCGCAGCATTCTACAATTTGGAAAAAAGATGCAAAAATATCGATATAGCGATAAACGAAGAAAAGATACTTGGGGTTGTTGGGGTTGGTTGTTTGTCGTAAACGCCTCAGAAATATATTAAGGGAGTTCGCAAAGTACCATCAAAGTCATATTATGATTTTTTGTAGTGCTAAAAAAATAGTTGGTTGACGTTCCAAGTTCTCTAAACATTTATTTAAGCTTTTAAAGTTTACGACATACAACAATACGACACTTACGACACCGTTATGAATCGCTCAAATGTATGTATATTGGGAGAAATGTCGCTATTGGAAGTTATATATCTTCGAAGTATTATTATTATTTTTATTAAGGGCCATAAACACCGCGGCCGAAGGCGTTTAATGTAGCCTAGCGCCTCCGATGTGTAGCATCACCTTAGCGATCTAATCTGCGCCAGGAACAGACGTTTGTTTCAGAAAGTCGTATACGAACTAAGGTGATAAGGAAGAAAACGGTGTCTTGCGTAGTACCCAGTAGAGTTTTGAGGTCTTCTTTACCGGAATTAAGTAGTTTTTTAAATAGTAAAAGACCGTCTATCAAGGATCCAGCGTTAATATTATCAATATTGTTAAGTCTGAAAGTTAAGCAAGGAATAATTCTTGCCAATAGGTCCTACTTTGGTGGTGTAAATAACTGGCGTAACTTCACATATGAGGGAGGCAATTGGCGTGGTTCGCTGTTACTGACCCAGTCCGAAAAATGGCTGTACATAGTGGCAAATAAAAAAGAGGTATAAGTTAAGGTAAGCAAAAATCACAAGAAGTATGTCCACCTCTAATACCTTATCTATTTTTCTCCATCAATTGTGCCTGTTTGTTGTGTACCTGCATTGAAAGTGTACTTGAACAGAAAAAATCGCGTATGGCTAAACGTTTGCCCTTTCCGTTATACTAAGTCGAATTAAGCTTAGTTTTTAGTATACATATATATGAATGTAGCTTTATGATTATTGTATTGTTTCAATCGGGGTTACTACATGTGAAATAGTACAATTTTTACTATTCAACTATTTAAACTGAACTTCGCAAATTTTCGCATTCGTTTCCCAGCCGCGTAATCGCCGCATAAAATGTTGCGCTGAAGTAAATTTTTTTTTATTATTATTCTCTCGCAGATTAACGGCATTTACTGCAAATAAAATTCACAGCAGGATTAAATGTTATATCTGGCAATTGAAGTATGTTTCCCGTTAAGACAAACAATTTTCCGTTCCTTATTCGCCTCCATTTCTACATATTTATGTACATACCCGTATGATCAAATAAATTTTTATTGTATCACCTTTTTCGGTTAAATTCAAACACCCACACTTATTGCTGCGGTAATCTTCTGTTATTCATTGCCCACTGATATGAACACATATGTACATATTTTCTTCCCAACAGCACCGGCACACCACGCACCCACAGTGCCACAGCAGGCTCAGGCAAGATCGTTTACACTTTTGGCAATCCAACGCTTATCGGTGCCGCAAAATGGGCATCCACGCAGCAAAAGAAAATCCAAGTTAAACAATTGCTATGCCACAACGGTAAGACACTCGATGAGCCCAAATCCAATTACATGTATGACTGTCTGCGCGAAAGGTGTGATATCGCAGCTGATCGCATTTTTCACATCGGCAAAGAGCTGTGTAAAAAGGTGTTTGGCACAAATGCGGACGATTACGAGCTGAGTCAAGTGGACGAACATTCACAGGTGGGTGGTAGAGTTAAGGAGAGTAGGCGTATATGTATGTATGTAGTTGTAATTATGAAAATTCATTGCTGCCATTTGGGACCTCAGATTGGTTTTCTTTTAATTTCTTTATAACACAACATGCACTATGCCATTATAGTATGTATACATATTAGGGTGGTCCAAAAATACATGTAAAAAAAATAAAGTCGGAATTTTTATCCTCTCACCCCCTAGGATTGTTCTATATCGAAAAAAAGTTCACCCCTNCAAAAAAATAAAGTCGGAATTTGTATCCTCTCACCCCCTAGGATTGTTCTATATCGAAAAAAAGTTCACCCCTATTTTCTTATTTTGAAATCAAAAAATATTTAGAGGTCGCTCAAAGCGCTCAAAGTTTTCCTTGTATTTTGTATGAGAAAAAAGAACTTTTCGTGGAAATGGTATGGAATTATTGAAAATCAAAATTTTTCGATCGGAAGACCGTGTTTCTCTTCAACAGATTCCCAATAATAAAACCCAATTATTTTTTTAACAATTTTCTCTTAGTAACTATAGTTTATAGGACCGCCAAAACCCCTAGAAAATGCCAGAAAATGCAATGAGGGGGATAAATAAAAAATCTTCATTATTAAAAAATGGTTAAATAAATAATTGGATATTGTTATTGGAAGTTTCCTGAAGAGAACCAGACTTTTCCGATCGAAAAATATAGATTTTCAAGAACTCGATACCATTTCCAGGAAAAGTTATTTTTTTCCCATACAAAATACATGGAAAAGTTTGAGTGATTTGAGCGACCTCGAAATACTTTTTGATTTCAAAATAAAATAAAAGGGGTATATTTTGTTCGATATAGAACAATCCTAGGGGGTGAGACCACTAAAATTCGGACTTTACTTATTTTGGACCACCCTAATACATATAAATACGAGTACATACCCGTATTTCCTAATCATACATATGTATGTATACTTTTTGTACCGCNCAAAATTCGGACTTTACTTATTTTGGACCACCCTAATACATATAAATACGAGTTCATACCCGTATTTCCTAATCATACATATGTATGTATACTTTTTGTACCGCTATAGGAATTGACAAAAACAATTGGCACCATTTGCTGTGATCATGAAGGCCCATTAGACCCTTCTTCCACCATGTTAGCCGGCACAGATGAAGCACGTTGCCTAACGGTGCGTTTGAATTTCTCTAAAGCCAAGTCGGTGGCAGTTTTCCCCGGACAAATTGCAATCGTGAGTGGTAAAAATCCTAAAGGTGATACTTTCATTGTGGACGAAGTATTGGCTGAGCGGCAACTAAGTCCACCTACACCACCGAAACTTACAGATCCATTAAGTTTTGTCGTCGTTGCCGGCCCATATACGCACGATGATGATCTTGTATATGAACCATTGCATGATTTGATTGCATACTTAAAGGAACACAAGCCGGATGTTTTGGTATTGACTGGACCTTTTTTGGATGCGGAGCATAAGCTGATTAGTGAAAATGTGACACTGGCCGAATCGTTTGAGTCGTTCTTTGAAAAAATGATCGCAAGCATTGTGGATGCTATTGGGTTAGTAATGATTGTCTACACAGATTTTCTAAACTAAATTTTTTATTTATTTTTTTTTCATTTACATATACACATATCGTCGTTTAAAGTACAAAACCGCGTATCGTCGTTCTGCAAATCCGCGTAACTGACATTTTTGCCAAAAATTGGCTTACGCAAGCTCTTGGCTTAATTCTTATCCATTCGTGCTGAAATGTATTAGCCAAAAATGCGATTGCTTTATAAAAAAGAGAACAATTTGGAAATATGAGTGTTTTTACTCTCTTGAAAATAATTTCTACAACCTCACATAAGCGGTTTTGCATTTTGTTGATACGCGGTTTGTACTTTAAACGGCGATATGTATGTTCTAGTACAGTCGAATTAGGATCGAAATTTGACGATCTTTTGCATGGTGTTTCATTCTTTTAGAATACTGAAAGGCCAGCCGTACAAAATGTTAAGCAGGATTTTCGGAACTCAGGGTGTTGTGGCATCACCACCATCTTGAAAATAAGGATGGTCTGCGACTTTTCTTCCGCAGGGAAATAGTTATTTCAGGACCTTAACCGATTAGGACAATCTTTATTATTTATGCGCGGCAGTCAAACCCCCAACGGAGTAATGCTCCATATCAACACAGAGGGTTAAAGTTTCCTTCTTAAGGGAAAATTCTATTATCTTTCATCAGAAATGTATTTACTCTTCTCCCTTAAATCACAGATTCTTACTATTTAAATTTACTGCTTAACATTTTTGTGGAATATTCTAACTGCCACATTTTCAAAACCGGGTCAGAAATGCCTGTTGCATTGGAAGTACTGTCCTCCGCAGACAAGAATTAAGTATGAAGTCGATTAATAGATAAATACATATCGTCGTTTAAAGTACAAAACCACGTTTCAACAAAATGCAAAGCCGCGTATCAAGATAATGCAAAACCGCGTATGTGAGGTTGCATATGTTATGCTCTAGAGAGTAAAAACGCTCATATTTCAAAATAATTCTCTGGCTAGTATATTTCAAGACGAATGCATAAGGATTGAGTCGCGAGCTTGTGTGAGAAAATCGAATTTTTGGCAGCAAATGTCAGTTACGCGGTTTTGCAGGTTTTTCATAACAAAATTTTTTCGTTACTTTTTTATAAAAATATATTCTAAAATACAATCCATTTAAATATAAGTGTCAACCTTTATCTAAAAATATGCAAATTTTTCAAACTCTTTTCTCAGAATTTTTAAAAATTTGTTTGTAAGCAGTTTTTTAGCCCATTCAATTTTAGTATAATGATGTGCTGATTTGAAGTTGCTACATAATCCCGTTGATTTTTGAAAAAAAAAATGCTGTATGGGCTATAAAACTTTTATACAAATATGTAGTCAAAAATTCTGGCAACGGATTCGCTGAAAATGAGCATATTTNACTACATATCGTCGTTTAAAGTACAAAACCACGTTTCAACAAAATGCAAAGCCGCGTATCAAGATAATGCAAAACCGCGTATGTGAGGTTGCATATGTTATGCTCTAGAGAGTAAAAACGCTCATATTTCAAAATAATTCTCTGGCTAGTATATTTCAAGACGAATGCATAAGGATTGAGTCGCGAGCTTGTGTGAGAAAATCGAATTTTTGGCAGCAAATGTCAGTTACGCGGTTTTGCAGGTTTTTCATAACAAAATTTTTTCGTTACTTTTTTATAAAAATATAGTGCATTCTAAAATACAATCCATTTAAATATAAGTGTCAACCTTTATCTAAAAATATGCAAATTTTTCAAACTCTTTTCTCAGAATTTTTAAAAATTTGTTTGTAAGCAGTTTTTTAGCCCATTCAATTTTAGTATAATGATGTGCTGATTTGAAGTTGCTACATAATCCCGTTGATTTTTGAAAAAAAAAATGCTGTATGGGCTATAAAACTTTTATACAAATATGTAGTCAAAAATTCTGGCAACGGATTCGCTGAAAATGAGCATATTTTTCTAAATTGAAGCTTATATTTAAATGGTTTATATTATAGAAGTAATTAATTTTAATAAAAAGTCAACGAACATTCCTTTATGCAAACTTGGGAATCTTTTCCATTTATTGACACAATTGACCACAACGCAAAAAATCGTCAGATGTTTATAATTCGTTTTCTATAATTTAACATGAGTTCCGTTTTTTATGAATTTTAATTTAATATTTAGCTTTTTACATATATGTATGTATGTAAATCTTAAATCTAAATTACATATTGTTTTAACAGCACCTCAACAACAATTTTAATTGTCACTTCGCATAAGGACGCTAATGCTGATCCTGTATATCCCACGATGTCGATCCCTCTGCGAAAGACTTATCAAAATGTGCATTTCTTACCAGACCCATCGATGATCGATTTAAATGGCATTGTTATAGGAATGACATCAACGGATATCATGCAGCATATAATTTCAAATGAGTTGGCGTTGTAGGTTAAATTAATTTAATTTTGAATATATGTAACTCGATTTGCAGCTTAATGGCCGTATTTATATTTCAGCAATGCCGGCGATAAAGTAAAACGCGTCGTCAACCATCTTTTCAATCAAGGATCTTTCTATCCTCTTCACCCACCAGCATGCGATGAGATAAGCTTCGACAGCTTCTTAGCAGCCAGATATGCGAAAATCGAACAAATTCCAAATATACTTTTACTGCCGAGTGACCAAAAGTGTTTCATCAGGGTAAATATCAGATATGGCTGATAAAAAATTAATGCAAACTTATGTTATAAAAAAAAACGAATTACAGGTGGTGAACGGTTGTTTGGCTATAAACCCAGGACGTCTGGCCGATAGCACTGGTGGCACATTTGCAAGATTTATCATTACACCGCCAGCTTCTAAGGACGATACAAATATATGTAACTTTGTTGCCTGCCAAATACGCAAAGTTTAGACTGTTATTTTTGTCTATAAGTATGAATATTTAAATGTTCAATTTTTATAAGTGAAACTGCAATTTTGCATGTTCAGCATTTAATTTGTTGTAATACAAAACAGCATTTGCATGAAAAATGTTACAAATAAATTATACACATTTATCATTAACGCTTCTTCTTATATACTTATATAATATAATTTAACAGCTAATTTAATTCCCAAAGGCACTTGGAAAGTGTATCTTCTCTTCGTCCACGATTTCTTCCAGAATATCATCGATTTCGGTGTCGGGATAACGATCCACCCACGACTTAATGTAACCTTCGTGTGTGGCTTCATATGTATTCAAATTCACCTTTTCACTCTTCACATCGGTGTTGGCCTGTACCAATATTATGCGTGGCTTTTTATGTGCCAGACAAATGTCGCGCCATTTAGCCCACGGGTGTGAACCGCCTTCACTCACCTCTGAGTAGTGTTCGTACATTTCAGTTGCCGCTGCTATATCAGCAGTTGATTTGTAAACTTGTAGCTTTTTTAGGAATTCTTCAATGGCCTTCTTGCCCACAGTCTGTATTTTTGTGCGATCCACTGTTAAGCGCAAATTTTTGCCTTCCTCAGTTTCCTCGACGGTGACAAATCCTTCACCCGCTTCTAAAAGCACCCTCATGATGACAAAGCGAGCACGAGAATGCGCTTGCATCCATTGTTTGGATTGAGGATTGTACATTTCCAAGGCAACGCCCATACCGTTCCAAATCAAACTCAACCAATTGATATAGACTATTTTTTCTTGCTCAACAGGATCTTTAAAACCGAAAATTTCTAAAATATCTGGTCTTAACGAAAGGAACAAGCCGACCGCTTCAGCACGGCATTCCTCATAGGAAGAGCCAATAGCACCGAATTTCGTGTCGTAAGTTTCACCTGGTAAATACCAAGATTCAATTGGTTTGCCAGTTATAAGATTTTTCGTGTTTTCTTTGTCAAAATTGAATTTGCCATTTTCATCTATGCGGAAGAGTTTGCCACTTCCATGACCGAGCAGCTCGTGCAGACCTACTTGCACCTATTTAAATACACATGTACATAATATATTTTTTATTAATATGAAAAGGATCCACATATTTACCTCGAAAGATTTCACTTTGTATTCCTTCATCAGCTCTTGATCCTCATCGGTGAGGAATGGAATGGGATCTTTGCGGTTTATGTTTGCTAAGACGTTGCCGAGTGAAACGTTTTTAAACCCCTCATCCTGACGGATCTCGTCATCTTGAAATTGAAAAGAAAAACAATTATTATTCACATACATATGTATATAAATTCAAAAATATCCCAGAAGGAAAATGAAACTGTATTACCTTTTTCTACCAAGAAAAGATTAACAACTAAGGTTCTACGAAAATATGCATCGCAACGTAAGCGAGAGGATGATGTGTAGCTTTGAAGCCACAAACAAAACAAAAAGTTTGAAAACTAACTCATGTATGTTTTTTGTTCACGTTATCTCAACAGCTGCTGTAGCCGAACGGATGCGTGCTCGACTGCCGTGTAGTTGGTCGGGTTCAAAACCTGTGGCACGGTTAGTTATTAATCTTTTCTTGGTAGAAAAAGGTAATTTCCCACTGGGATATCCATACGCATGCATATATATGAAGATGATATACGCAAGCAAATGCATATGTAGTATAGTGATCTGATTTTAAGGAAATCATTGAGCTTTTTTCGTTTTTTTTTGACAACCAGCGAATTATTTCGTAAATTCAAGTATTACGTAACCAACCAATTNGTTAATCTTTTCTTGGTAGAAAAAGGTAATTTCCCACTGGGATATCCATACGCATGCATATATATGAAATTGATATACGCAAGCAAATGCATATGTAGTATAGTGATCTGATTTTAAGGAAATCATTGAGCTTTTTTCGTTTTTTTTTCACAACCAGCGAATTATTTCGTAAATTCAAGTATTACGTAACCAACCAATTTCTAAAAAAATTATTAGATTCTAATTCGAATATGAATATCCAATGTACGTTAAATTATTTAGACTATAAATTCCTTATTTCTGGACATGATAATTGCCATGAATAAAATTTTAGAAGCATTAACAGATAAAAGAAACGGCACAGCCCCACAAAAACAATGTCATGTACTTTTAACAGGAATGCCCTACCTCCATGTGTTTTGGTGCCCTGAACACGAATCTGTAGTCCGGACGGATATTATGCCAAAGGCACGTTTTTGAAGGTTAGAAAAAAATCCGTACATAATGAAGCAAAACGAACTTCAGAATCGGTTTCAGCGCATCAAAATACATATAGAAAGGATAGTCTGATCCCCGAACCCAGCCACTTGTTTTGTAGGTGTGTGCAGTGTACAAAAATAAACTATATTGTACGTTACTATTTCGTTTCGTTTATTACTTCAACAGTACGAAAACAAAACGGCTGAGTTCACTTTACGATAGTACACTACAGTAGTTTAGTAGTTACAGACGAAACAACAAACGAAATGAATCGTGCAGAGAAAAATATGTTTGCATGTAGTACATGTTTTTCAATTGAATTGGATATGAAAATTAACAGGAAATATATTTTTCACGTAATTGAAACGTTTGCATAGATATAAAACGTACCCTATGGTACAATTGTCACNACGAAAACAAAACGGCTGAGTTCACTTTACGATAGTACACTACAGTAGTTTAGTAGTTACAGACAAAACAACAAACGAANAAAACAAAACGGCTGAGTTCACTTTACGATAGTACACTACAGTAGTTTAGTAGTTACAGACGAAACAACAAACGAAATGAATCGTGCAGAGAAAAATATGTTTGCATGTAGTACATGTTTTTTAATTGAATTGGATATGAAAATTAACAGGAAATATATTTTTCACGTAATTGGAACGTTTGCATAGATATAAAACGTACCCTATGGTACAATTGTCACAAACGAAAAGCAAACGTTTCTCGTTGGGGAAAATGACAGTGAATCTTACAATTTGTTTCTGACTATGTACAAAACTGTACAAAACTACAAATGATATGATGGTCGATGAGCAAATGGGAATTGTTTTGTACAGTTTATTTTCGTACCCTGGGTGTGTGGCTTATTCAGCTGACCTTTAGCCACGCAAATAAAGCTTTTTAATGCACTGAACATGAATCTGAAGTTCGTTGTGCTTCTTCACGTCAGGATTTTGTTCTAATCCAAAAAACGTGGCTGTCGCATAATATTTGCTATGTTTTTTGGGGTTAAGAAAAAATCTTGAAGTGATGGAGCAAAACGAACTTCCGATTCGTATTCAGGGCACCAAAACACATTGCAGTAGAAAGTATACGACACTTTTTTTGTCGGGCTTTGTTATGAAAGCATAGGAGGGGGAGGGGGTAAGAACTTTCCTTACAATTAGTAGGGAGTTGTTAAAAATGACTGATACTCTGCTTACGTAATACTTGATTGGCCTCTATCTATGTAGTTAAGTCATTCAAATTCAAAAAAATCTTGCATTTAAAACTTGCAAAAGTCTTTTTAGTACAATGAAAGAAAACTTTGATGTAAATCTTTGAAGTTAACATTTTTCATTCCAAAAAGGAAAAAAATAATATTGAAAAACATAAAATTAAATTGATTTTATTAATCTTTACATATAAATAAGTGATATTTTCATATACTTTTTTAATTTATAAAATACTTTAAATCTATTTTTATGCACATGGTATAAGATAGCACGCAGAGCTACTTACAATTTGGAATGTTGATTCCAGCCGGTACTCCACTGCCAGCAAAAGTCAACACATCAAGGGATGTAAAATCAGGCTTCAAATAAGTGTCTTTTTCATAGGCCTCCGTCCAAGGTAAATATTCCAGCAACTTTTCAGCCCGTGCCACCAATTCGGCAAATTTAGCAGAACTTTCCTTATTGACCATAGCAACAAAGCCCTCGAATTCTGCGCGTCCGCCTGCTGGATCACGATATGTTTCGATGAAGCCAATGTAAGTTTCGATGACTGGGCCTTTATCCTTAATCCACCACCTACAATAGACAATTTCGTACATGATTTTTTATTTAAAATAAATAACACAGTTTAACTCAGTTCGCTGGCCTACCTTGAACCATCCTTATGATCAGCTAGTGAACCCTCTTGGAAAGATTTTATATAATGCTCAATCATTTTTTGCTCATTTTCGTTAGCCGCATACTTTTTGGCTTTTTCTAAATTTTTATTTACACGCTGCAGCAACTTTTGATAGTCACCGCGTGTCACACGAAAACTATTGCCATTATAGCTTTCCAAGGGCAAGGTAATACCATCCTTATTCGAAGATTCTACTGAGCCCAGCTTAATGTCATAGATCGTTTGACCATTTTCCTGCAACTTAAATGTACGGCACATGTAAGGCTCTATACGCTTAGATGTTAACCACTCATTGACAATATCAGCATCTTCCTTTGTACAATTATCTGACCAGTAAGTGGTTATGCCATTTGGAGCGAATCCTAAGACCTCATTACGCGGCTTTAATGAATAGATAAGTGGAGCGGCTTTCTCGTACGCAGCTGGTACATGTTTATCATTCGAGTAAGCTGATGACAATTTAACAATCTCTTCGAACTTTTTCTCATCCAAATTCGGAATGATTTTGCTGTCACCCATACCTTTATAGTTACCGGCATTGGCGAAAATTCCACAAGCGTAAACTAAGAAAGCCTGGAAGCAAAAGTAAATATTTAGTACTTATGTAAGTGATAAATGATTAAGAAAATATATAAACAGTACTAGTCGAATACAAGTTTTCAACTACTGTATTTATCAAACCCGGCTATATATACTGTACTCAAAGCTTACCGTAAACTCATCCTCGCTAATATCCTTAGCCAAAGCTTTTGTTTTCAACTCTTGCAATGGCTCAGCAACGAAAATTCGATGTAGTAGTGAGAATATCAATGGCGCTTCCGGACTGGATTGTATCAGAGCGATAAGGCCACCATCCCATGAAGCTCTACTAAAGTAGTGGGCGTAGAGTTTTTCTTTTTCAGTTAGACTCGAGAAAGCACTTTTGCATTCCAAGTCAGCAATTGGTTGGGAGTTGGGCAAAACAAAATGGGCAGTGTTGGCAGAAGACATGGTACGTATAACTAAACTGGTGAAACTG